GGTCACACTTGTGAGGCTTATCACTTTGGTCAACCATGGGCCTACGTCCATCGCCGCCAACGTCTCGGCTGCCTCCCGTGACCCCGCCGCTGACGCCGTCTCTCCCGGACATCCCTTTAGCTCCATTCAGGCCCTGCTTGCTCAGCGAGCCACCCCGGTTCTTACCGGGGCACAAGTGCGTGATAAGGTGGTGGCGATCAGCAAAGAACATCCCACAATCAACACAGATGTGACTGCGGCCATCCATTTTATCAGTGCCGTTGGTTGAGCTGCCTCCGATACCTGGTTGCTGTCCATCTGGCCTCTGAGGGCCATGAACCAGCTGGTGATTTAGGAGGTCTTGCTTTCGGGAGAAGCTCTGGCCACAGGTGGAACAGATCATTCTCCAATCTCCCAAGTTGGAAGGCCCTGGTCCTGTTGGATTATTCGCATGGCTGCGAAGATGGCTGCGGAGAGCTCTGAGGCTAGCATAGTGGTTGCCACAGACAGAGCACTGATACACTTCTCCATCATCTTCATCGTCCTTGTCATTGCTGCCCATTCTCTTGCCTCCGTTCTGAGAGTACTGACGTTGGCTGCCACCCTCTTTCAGACTGCTGGAGCTGTGGTAGTTCATATTCCCCATGAAACCGTTTGACAGGTTGGCCTGTGGCGGCGGCGGTGGTTGCTGCTGCTGCTGCTGCTGACCATGGCGGGGACACAAGTGTGACTTAATGCCAGACACGTCACTGTACATCTCACCACAGTCGGCGCAGACGTGTCTGTCGGCTTGACGGTGTGTGGAGCTGCTCTGTGAGAGTGAGCTGCCATCAAAGCGATCATGGAACTCAAGTGAGTCCAACCCACTGCTATGTCCGCCGTCCGTAACAAAGTGACTGGCATCACCAATATTTCCTGGCAGTGTAATTGGAGTTGTGGCACTACTGCCCTCCTGGACGTAGCTCTGCTGGGAGTCCAATGTCAGGGGCTCTGAAGACAGCCAGTCACTGCCATCACTGCCAATGGACTGACTGGATGTGCGTCCCTTGTGGCTCCGCAGGTGGCTATTAAGTGCTGCCAGGTGAGGGTACTGCTTACAACAAATAGTGCACTGATAGTGACCCGTCTGGTGACAACGTTTATGATTCACCAGACTTCCCGCATGGCGGTAGCTTTTTCCGCACTCCCCACATTTAAAGCGTCGTTCACCGTCATCTGGAGAATTGGCCTGGGGCACACGGCCTCCAGATGGAGAGGATACGGAACCCTGTGACCCAGAGCTTAATGACTCAGAGTTTAGAATTGAACTGTCCTGGCTGTGGGCAGCAGGGTGTGGGTCGTGGGTTAGATAATGGACCTTTAAGGTCTCCAGATCTGGGTGTCCTGTGCCACAGTATGCACACGTGTAGATTGGATTGTTGACGGGGGGTCCCATAATTGGGTCGTAGGGATTTCTCTTCTCACCGGGAAGAGGTGGCAGAGGTAGTGGGTCACCCAGAGCTGGCGTGTAGGCTGGCGTTCGAACGGAGCTCAGATTATGAGGCATGATGCCTGGAAAACTACGTGGCAGGCCGAGGGAGGTGGAGGCCGTGTTGTGTAACAGGATGTGCTCCTGGAAATCTGCTTTGTTTGGTAGTGCCACCTGGCACAAGTGGCAAAAACAGGAGGCGGTGTCTTCGCTCTGGGATGACTGAGAGGCAGCGGTGCTGCTGCTGCTCACCATTGATGCACCGGGGGGTTTGAACTTTGAATGAGTTCTCTCGTGGCTGTTTAGGGCAGCCAGATTGCTGAATTGTTTTACACACAACGTGCACTTAAAATTTCCTTGTTGGTGACACTTTTTGTGGTTCACCAGAGATCCGTGATGTCGGTACGTTCTGTCACACTGATCGCACTTGAAGGGTCTGTCCCAGGCGTCGTCAGATTCAGGGGAACTCTTCTTTCTGTGATCGTCTCTCTCGTTCCTCTGAAGGACACTATGTCCCATACCACTGTGGTTCAGGTTTGAACGGGCGAACCCCCCTGGGAGGTCCTGGGTGAGACCGTAGTCTCTCTCTTCGTGGCTTGCCTCTTCGTGCACTTCCTCGCTCTCCTCTTCAGGGTGTGCACAACTGGGAGACAGGGTATGGATGCGGAGGTGGTTCTTCAACGCGACGGCGTTGGGCAAGGTGCGAGTACAAACGGGGCACTGGAAAGAACCCACTTCGTGAGACTTTTTGTGGTTGGCTAAGCTAGCTGCGTGTTTGAAAAGTCGGCCACACTGTTCACACTCAAAACGTCCACTTGAAAAGTCAGATTGCTTCCGGCTGATAAGGTGCTTTCATATGTTCTAGAAGACGTGGAGTACTGGGGCAGACCATATCACATTCTTTACAGGGGAATCCCTTGGCACGACTCATATCATGCTTTGCCATAGTACGCCAGCATAAACCAGGAGGAAAAATATCACGGTTCACAACAAAGTGATGAACAGTGACGTGCTGCAGATGCTGCGGCGGCCATTTTTCCCATCATTTCAGATCCAGCCAAACAGGGCCCACCCTGGTGGTGGGGTCCCTGTGGGGGGGGGCGGGGAGGGGTCCACAGCAGCCAATGAGGATTCACTGCGGAGACATAAGAAAAAAAACAAAATCTGGTCAATTAACAGGAAACTAAGTTATACAAGTTATATCTTATTAAAACTGTGTTAAATTCCACTCATTCTACTCCAACGAGTGATTTCCCATAATTCACCAGGCTACAACGACACTTTCTACCCTGGAACCAAACTTGCACTCCATCTCAAACCCGAAATAATCAAAAGTTTGACTAAACCTCTTTGGTTTCTCACATCCCCATCCCTGCATCACAGCAAGTAATAAAAAGTTTAAGAAAAATAAGTTTTTGAATTTTCTACCCTTTTGTTTGTTTTTCATTAGAATGTAGATGTGGATCTCAGTTCAGATGGAGAAGTTGTACCATTTCAACTATAGGGATGTGTGTTGACAGTTTAACCGGGACATTTTTTGTTTTGTTTTTTTGCATTAAAAAACACTATGCTGTTTGATGGATCATCTCCAGCTGTTTGTCAATATTGCAAAAATATTACGGCTTTCATTATCAGAGGAACAGAATCTCAGCTCCTCGCTGTGATGATGGCTCCTGACCTTGGCCCGTCTCCTCCTCCTCCTCCTCCTCCTCAGCTCCAGCCTCCGATTCACTTCACCGGGACAAAGACGAGCATCATCCCCGACACGCGGCCATCATCTCCTGTGAGCCGCTCCACGACTCAGCAGCTGGAGCGCGGCTCAAACGCCGGTTCGTGAGCGCGGTGTCTGAGGGTGGATGTTCGGTCCAAACATGTCGGACATGACGGTGTGAGTCGCGGCCACACTGAGCCCCAGCACCTCCTGAAAATGGCTTTCAGCAGCCAACAGCCATTTTCCCCCCGATGATATTTACTTCAGCTTCGCTATGAAATATCTGTTGACGCAGCACAGAGACCCGAGCACCGCGGAGCGAGACCGCGCAACACACCAGCCTTACCCGAGATAAAGATATCGGGAGCCGGCTCTGACAAAAACTCAGAATTTAAAAAAAATAAAATAAATAAATAACAGGGTTGAGCTAAGCATTAGCCACTGGCTAATTAGCAAAGCAGCCCCCCACCTGAGAGGGAGGGGGGCGGAAGTTAACAACAGAACCATAAACAATAACACACACACAGGTAAACAACACTAACTACGCACACACCCATGCCGCGCACACAAACACGCCTGTGTTATTTTAAAGTCCGGAGTTTAGTGCCGCAGCAACAAGCGGCGGCCGCTGCTAGTGCGTTAGCAACCAGGCTAACACAAAGATGTCGACAAACATTGGGAGGAAAAGCCCCGATCTTCCCCGCGCCTCAGTGCAGCAAACTCACCCCTCAGATGGCGTCCGTGTCCGCAGGGAGAGCGCCGTGAGCAGCGAAGACGGAGCCGCGCGGATTTTCACGCTTTTAACATGCTTTTTGTTTGACTATCCTCCTCCTCCCGTTGCGACGCAGACTCTGCTTCTCTGCCCCCACCGCCGCTCACTTCCTGCTGTGGTCACAGTCGCAGCCGCCACCGGGCGGCGCTGGAGCGACGCGGTAGAACCGAAAATCAGGACATTAAACAGGGTTCAGCTTAAAAGTGGAACATTCAGGGAATTAATATTAACTATTTATACATTCTTCTATTGAAGTTTTTTTTAAAATTTGAGTTCTATCGTAATATTCACTTGACTTGCTTTTTAACAGTGTTTTTTAATGTGCATTAAATACACAATATAATCAACACTATATTTATCATCATCATTATCATGTGGCTGAAAATGATTTTTTTAAGACGTTTGACAGATGTTGAACCCCACAGAAACAGAAAAGTCGGTATGATTTTTAATGATTTTATTCTGGATTTTTCTTCTGAAGCCGAGTGAAGATTCACTCGTCAGCTGTGGAGGGAGAAGAAAAGAGGATTTATTACCTTAATATCACACACTGTCATATCTTTCTAAGAACTATTTACTATTAAATTCATTACACACATAAAACACTTTATTTAAATCAATGTATAAATCCATAACTTTTTATATCAATGTACTGTAGAGTTAGCTCTAAAGGTAAAATGATTAGATAAGAACTAGAACTTGCCTCCTCTGGCTCATTTGGAGGATTGTTAACGGCTAGTTCTTAATTTAAATGTGATTATCTGACAGACTGTCATGTGACCTGTGACTGACACCAGAGAAGCTACGTGGACTGGACCAAACAGAACAGGAGACTTACCCTGCTGGAGGACAGGTTCTGATTCAGGTTTACTGGAGCTAGAATCGGTGCCGGAACCAGGAGCACACTGGGTCACAGGCTGCAGAACATCTTCAGGAATCAGTGTAACCACGGGCTCTGGTTCTGGGATGACAACATGATCTGGTACCAGTTCTGCTTCTGCTTCAGGTTCTGTTTTTTTAACCAATGCTGGAGCCTCCTCCGTGACAGATCCAGGTTCTTCTTCTGTCTGTGGAACAGTTTCTAGTGCTGGACCAGGGACCGACACAGGTTCTGGAACAGGTTCAGGCACGGACACTGGTTCTGGCAAGGGTTCAGAACATGATACAGGTTCTGGAACAGGTTCAGGCACGGACACTGGTTCTGGCAAGGGTTCAGAACATGATACAGGTTCTGGAACAGGTTCAGGCACGGACACTGGTTCTGGCAAGGGTTCAGAACATGATACAGGTTCTGGAACAGGTTCAGGCACGGACACTGGATCTAAAATACTTTTAGGCACAGACAGAGGTTCTGGAGCAAGCTCAGAACAAGAAACAAGTTCCGGAACAGGTTCAGGCACTGATGGTTCTGCAAGTGGTTCTGGCACTGATACAGATTCTGGCAAGGGTTCGAAACATGATACAGGTTCTGGCACAGGTTCAGGAACTGACACCGATTCTAGAACAGGTTCAGGAACTGACACAGGTTCTGGAACAGGTTCAGAAACTGATACAGATTCTGGAACAGGATCAGGAACAGATAAAGGTTCTGGAACAAGCTCAGAACAAGAAACAAGTTCCGGAACAGGTTCAGGCACTGATGGTTCTGCAAGTGGTTCCGGCATTGATACAGATTCTGGAACAGGTTCTGGCACTGATACAGATTCTGGAACAGGGTCAGGAACAGATAGAGGTTCTGAAACGGGCTCGGGTAAAGAAACAATTTCTGGTTCAGGCACAGACACATGTTCTGGGACAGAGTCGGCTGCTGACAACAGTTCTGGAACAGGTTCAGACTCAGCTATAGGTTCTGGAACAGATTGAGGCTCTAGAACAGGTTCAGGCCCTGACGCAGGTTCTGTAAGAGGTTCAGAACAGGACACAGATTCAGGAGCTGGTTCTTGGACATGTTCAACGGTGCCAGCAGGTTCTCCTTCTGGTTCTGGTGCTTGCAGCTGTTGTGGAACGGGTTCTGTGTTCTCAGTGGATTGTGAGAAAGGCTCGGCTTTTTCTGAAAGAACCTCGGGTTCTGGAGCGGATTCTGATTTGAAGGAAGTCTGAAAATATAACAAACAGTGAATTGTTACTTTGATGATTACAACAACAACAACAACGACAGTTTTTGGTAGGAACATTGGAGTTCTGAGACATTTGGACCAGAGACTCTTTTCTTCCAGGACTCTCCTGCAGGTTGTTTATCAGTTGGAGTTTTCTTGTCTGGATCTTTATTCTCATCATCTCTTGTCAACCTTCTCGTCTGACAGTGAGGAGAACGGTTCCTGCAGCAGATGGATGTTTGTTCTGCTCTGGCCAAAACCAGTTAGAGATATTTTGGTTCCTCCTGCCTGGTCCTCGTGTTACTTCACGGTGTTCACATGACCCGAGCATGTTCTCCTCTTACCCACTCCAGATATTCTCGGTTTTCCACGTAACGCCAACGTTTCTTCTACAGAAACGACTCCTGCAGAGCAGCCGTCCATATATGGACAAGTCCACGAGAGGCAGAGATTTGGCCGTCGCTCGATCAAACTCGTTTCTTCTGTTCGATCTTCTCCCTGTAGGAGACGTGAGCTTGGACGGTCAGAGGAGTGGAGACAGTCGTGGACAGCCCCACACTTGTTCTACTCAGCATGACTCAGCAGGCTGAGACATCCCAGCTGTGGGAGTCGGACACACCCATGTCCAGCTAACCCCTGTTCCATGACAGACATGTGACACCATGTGGACATGCGTGTAAATATAGAAAGAGGTAAGAGACACATGGCGGCAGACACATTCCTCGGGCCTTTTAAAGGCCGCAGCTCTGAGTGGACAAACGTCAGTGACATCCATCAGAACAGGTCCAGGAACATTGGACAACTCCGTGTCTAACCTGCCATGTGTTTCCAGTTGGTCACACAACCCTTGAACCAATCCGCTGACACGGCAACAGTGACCACCGGGACGACGACAGTGGCTGTCAGTGAAAACATGGCCGCTCGCTCGCTGAGATCTAGAATCTACAAGTTTAAGGCTACGTTATCATAAACGTCATAATTTTGCCTAAGTAAAAGACACTGACCACAGGAGGCAGCGGTGGGTCAGCAGCTCCTGTTGAGCTAAAATAAATGTTTGTTTTTTTTCTCTGGTGTATGAGAGTGAGTGGCTTCTCAGAGTCAGGTTCAGGTAGGATTTTTTTTTTCACAACAGTAATATGTGAAATATTAATATTTTTGTTGTTGTCATCATGTTGTCATTGGCTTTAATTACTTACACATTGGATATAAACAGTCATATAGTTAATAAAGTTTTTATATTTCCATAAAAGTGTTACCTGCCCGTATATGTATTATACAGGTGATGAAGTAATAAGTATTGGAATTTATTTTTGGTCATATTTGATATTTTTACTAAAGGGAGAAGCAGTGGATGAAAGTTTGACTAAAATGAAAAAAAACCATTAACAAAGACCTTTAGACTCAACGGTGATCTTTCTTTATACATATATATATATATACACACATAGAAGTTTACATATATTTTAAGTTGCTCAACTAAAATATTTTATACTGGCTTTACATCAGGCAAAAGGAAATATACAAACAGAAAACAGAGTATCTTAAAGTGAAATTAAAACATTTCACCTGCTGGATGTCTCCAGTCGCTCCGCCGCGGCTCACCGCCTCAGCGGGAGCCGCAGAACTGAGAAGAAGTTGCGGCTCCTCGTTGTCTGTGTCGCCGCCAGACGACTCTCTCTTTCTGGCTGCGGATGAGGCTCCGCTCTTTGGTCGCAGCAGGGAAGCTGCGAAATAAAGAGCGAAGACAGTGAAGAGGATGGCGGGGAGGAGAAACGTCACCTCCAGCTCCATGATGCTTTTTTTCACACCGTAGAGTGCGTGTGAACAGAGCCTCACGTTCACAGATACTGGTCCACTGTCAGTGCTGCACCGACTGTCAGTGACAGGCGACAACACTCAGGTTGTCCTTTCAGTCTAAGAGCCGGCACCGGAAGAACGAGGCCTCGGGCTTCACTCCATCAGCTGTGTTCTTTCAGAGTTAAAGTCTGATTGTTTTTTGTTTGTTTTTTTTTTTGTTTGTAATCGGGATATTATAATTAAAGTCGTTTCCGACCACAGCTGCATGAAAGCACTGTGTTGATGATAATAAATATATGAATTCAATTTAAAAATGTATTTATAAAAAAAAGCATTTTAAATAATGATTTTGTCTTTAATTTCAAATCACACCTGCAGACATTCACTGTTTTTTTACCGTTTCAAAATATATATCTATATACACACTGGTGTTCAATTTTAAAAAAGATAGAGAAATCCATCATTAAAACCCACATCTTTAAAGAAAAGTCTTTATTTATTTTAAGAACAAACTGCACTTTTTTCACAGCTATGAAAACCATTTATTGGCATTGAAAGGCACAGCGTGACTAACCTGCACAGCGCCATCTCAGTATATTCAACAGATACATTCTACATTTTGGCAACGGCATCTCCCCCTGGTGGCCAGATCACAGACCACAGACTCAAAAGAACATGTTTGTTTTTTGTTTTTGTTTTTTTTCAGTCGCCGGTTAGTGCTTATTCACAGCTTAACCTCAAGCCCGCATCACTGGAGAAAGAGTCTGAGATCAGTTTAGTTTACAGTGCCCTCTGCTGGACCACAAGCATGTGTGGGACAGGACTGAGTATGCGCACAGGACAGAAATTCGATTACTTTGAAGTAAGTTTGATTTACGACTGTGAACTGAAAAACAATTTAAAAAAGAATTATATGAATAATGAGAGGAAAACCGATCAGGATAAAGTACCAGGAACATGAGCCAGTTCCACAAACTATGTCCCCTCTACCATGTGGGCGGAGCCTGAAGCACGTAGCTCCCTGATTGGTGATTGCATTTCATTTCATTTCACTACTGACCACGGCTGTGGTTTCAAAAATATTTTTTTAAAGATGTAGTGAGGATTGACGCCTGTAGGTGTCACTGGAACAAATGACAAGACAGGTTTTTAAGAAAAGCATCAGTTCTACATTCAACAAACCACCTCTCTGAACTGTTCCTTAGGAAAAGTTTCATAGTTTGAAAAGAGCATACAAAAGTTCCCAGAATCCCAGTGAACCCTCACCATCGGTACCAGCAGGAACTGGTCATTTAGTCCATGCACCACAGGCTGTGCAGACAAACAGGAAGTGACATAAATCACAGTGGTGACAGGTATCTGTCAGCTCACACCCCCCCACCCCCATTGGTAATTACTCTGTGACCCCGGGGTCAACACGACTCAGGGCTGCAGGGAGCAGGTGGAGTCAGAGGTCACCGGGAGGAGCTTCTCTCCTTGTTGACGCAGTCGTCCTGAGTGCTGGTGTCACCGTTGGCCGTCATACCACAGGTGCGTCGCTTCTTCCTACGATGGGACATTGTGTCACCGCCCTCAGAACCCGACTCCTCCTGCAGGACACAGAGTGCAAAGGCTGTTGTGATCAAAGATTGTAGTTTTCACCCACAGTGTGTACTGTATCTATAAGTGTGTGACGGATGGTTGCTGCCCGCTGACATAAAGGTGTCCGTGTGGAGGCTGTGTCAGTGTGAGAGCCTACATCAGAGTCTGAGTCTGAGGAGCTGGATGATGATGATGATGACGAGTCGCTGGAGCTGTCCGACGCAATGCCCGTGGATTCCTGCAGGTCCACTTTGTCAGCCAGGACTGCCAGCTCTGGATGCTCCTGCTTCAGGATGCTGAAAAGACACGAGGCCATCACTGAGGTGCAAGTGTGAACAGTGTCAGTTTGATTAAAAAAAAAACCCCAAAACAGAGAGGCTGTATCCTGCAGTATAATGTATGACTTTACTGTTTTCAATCCTCGGTTATACAAGCTGACCATAGGGGGCAGCATTGGGCCAGTAGTGCATTTATTGTTTGAAAAGCCCTGCTCAGACAACAAAGATTCATTTTTCTGGGTGACGATGTCTCAGCAGCTCCTGAAAACCTCAACTGTCCCTTTAAGAAACAGCCGTCCGGTGGATAACAGGTTCTTACCGATACCACTTTCTGGACAGCTTGGGTCGTCCTCGGACAGTTTTGTGCCACACGATGGGAAAGTTGGTGGTACTGGCAAAGTTCTGAGTGATGGCAATGGTGGTGTCCAGGTTGAGGACGACGTGCCACCATCCACCTGCAGAGAGTTAAAATTTTCTATCAAACAAGGGACATGGAGACGCATGTCTGAAGAGCGAGTGGAGGTGAGTGAGGTCACGACAGTCCAGACAACTGGGTCACTGACCGGGTACGAAGACCGTCTCTCCAGGTTTCTGCAGGATCTCCAGCGGCGTGTACTCCGGAGGCCAGTTGGTCTGCTGCGTCCGGGGGTAAATCACGTTGAACCAGGTAATGGCCTCATCCTGCTGGTTGCCTCCATCCACCCTGGTCACTTTGATCAACTCCCGGGGTGTGTTGGTGGGGAACAGACACCATCGCTTGTGTCCCTGGACCAGGGCGTTCCAGGCACTGGTGCCCAGTGGATCAATGTGAATGCCGGTACCTGACCGAGCCGGGCCCATCACAAACCACCTGCGTCAGAAAAGAGTTCAGAGGTCACTATTAGTAGTGGTAGAATAGTGTTATTACGCATTGTATGATGAAAAGGTTTTAGGCAGGTGTGGACAAAATGTTTGAGAGTAAGAATGCTTTAAAAAAAGTAAGAATTAATCAATATATTAACAGATTGTGAAGATAGGTAACTTTTTTTTATAGATACACTTAATATTTTATACAGTATATATATATATTTTACAAACACTTAATGTTGAATTGTTCTTCCAAGCTCAGCTGCATATTTTACAGGGAAATTAAGTGCATTATTTTTTTGGGGCATTTTAGCATATTGCATTATTTGTGCTAGTTTTGAATTGCACTGCAATTATTACATTTCTGTAAAAATCTGACTCTGACAGATATTTTTTTCTTACACAGAAAAAACCCAAACCTGTATGGTGGTCTGCGTTTCTCCCCTGCAAACTGAAAGAGGTCGTCTCTGAAGAAGACAGGAACCTCGTAGTCCTCCAGCAGCTTCCGGCGTTTAGCATGTTCACCGTAGCTACTGTCAAAAATGTAGAGCGGGCTGTCATCCCTGGTGCCCTCCAAGTATTCAACATAGTACTTCATCTTCATCTTCACCGAGTAGCCGTCATTGTCCTCGCCGCACTTAAACTTTTGGTTGCGGTACTTGCGTTTGAGGCGCTCCAGGGTCCATTTATCTCGGGCGGGCCAACTTTCCTGACAGTTCAACAGGACGACGG